AGGGTTTTGTTTTTAGAAGTTGATACAATTCCCTAAACGGTTTAGGGCCTTGCCTATCAGAAGTAGGGGAGGATGGAAGGCGTCATCATTTAGCATATATGGTAATAGACAATTAAACAAAATACAGAACAAAAGATAACCAGATTTAGGTTTATGTTAATGAGAGTTAAATAATTATTAAAATAGACAGTGGGTAATTTAGAGACCGTTTATTGGGAGCCCCATTTGTTATATTTACTGATAACAATTCGTTAGCTTATTTACAAAATGCTAAAATAGGAGCTAAGGTGAATTGAGGGGTGAATGTTTTGGGAAGGGGTTTATCCTTTGATATGATACAATCCCGTAACATAATGTTGGTATAGTGGGCATGATATCTGGATATGATATTTTACTGAATTCTGCATTATTTCAATGTATCGAAATTTATAAATGCAAATATGTTGGTGCTTTAACTTGTTAGGTTTGTTTACACGCATTTTATATTGTAAAGATGGAAGGTGACATCATACGGAGTGCGCTGTGGAGGTCTTGGGAAATCCAGTTCCATTAGTTGTCCTGTATGATGTTTTTCCTGATATCATTCATATATTTGCGAGGTACAAAATTATTGTTACCAGGTGATTTAGTGTTTTTTTTAAAGAAGCCATCCTGTGCCAAGTTGGCACTTAATGTTTGTTTGGTAACTGTATATAAACAAAAAGATAAAATTAAACAGTTGGAGTCTACATTTAGATGACATTAAATAATACATATGTGACAAAATAGATTTGTCTGAGTTTTATAATGTTAGTTGGAAGTAGATTCGATGAGATAATTATAGACTGCTGGTTGTTGCTGAGACTGGGAATGTTGAGATTATTATGATACATAATTATACAGGTTTATGAGAAAAGGGGTTAATTGTATGTATATAATAAGGTATGTTTAGTCTTGCTTCCAGTGAGATGTTAGGTTTTCATCAAGATGTTGTTGATTGTACGGTTAAAATTTTTCTCATGGGGGTTTGAGGAAAGAATGGAATTAAGGAATTTATGAATGTAGGTTGTTTGTAATGTGGTTAACATGTTGTGTTTATTTATTACTACAATTACCAGTTGACTTTGCACGATGTCATTGTGTTGTCATTTTAGTGGTTATACCCTTCCATGTTTGGGAGCAGTTAAAATAGAGGGATGATGTTTATGCCTGCCTTTGATTTGGAGGTCTGGGGGCATCCAGCTCCAAAATAGAGGAAGGACATGACGTCATCCTGATATTATATTCTGTTGGCTGGGTTATATTTGCAAGGTGGGCAAGACATTGCAATTGCAGGTCTTCCTGTTTAATTGGTTGTAAAATAAATAAATTTAGATATTGTTGCATGTGATTATGCATGGGTAAGGAGTGTTTGACATTACAAGGAGAATGTTAACTGTAATTCTGTTAAAGTACATTCTTAAGTCAAAGTGTTGGTTAATGCAGCCCAAATGTGCTGTGTTGATAGTATATTGACAAAATTATGCTTTAAAGCAACACAAATATGTATTGCTTGGATAATATTTTATCTTAATTGTGTGCGATCTCCAGGTAATAGATCGTTTTAGTAGGGGAGATTTGTAGTGGTACGCTCATTTGGGCTAAAGGGGGCGCTAGAGCCATAGAAGAGCCGGGCTAGGTTGATTAATTTTACGATTATTAGTTTGACTTGGTATACACCTAAAAGTTAAATAGCATTAATTATGTTTCCAATAGTATGCCGGGAACGGGTAAACAACCCCTGGTTTTGAATTCTTGCATAAGATTAAAGTTTTCATTTCGATAAGCACGTTGGAAATGAATTCCTGCATCAAGATGTACAGGTGTTCATTTCCAATAACACGTTAGACAATAGACTGTTTTGCCGGGGACGCGACATTCTCGCGAAGAGATAGACTCCTCCCATTTTTGTCGGTGACTAGTTCAAATTACTCGTATCTATGATGCTCTGTAATTGGTTATAATTGATTAAAGGTAAAACTCCTCTCTTAATTGGTCGGATGACCTACACTGTTAAAACAAGTATTAAAAAACTGCGGGTTAAAAAATTGTTGATTAAAAAACGCTCAACCATGGTTAAAAATGTAGTGTTGATTAAAATTTACTTTTAATCTTGCGTTGGTTAAAAACAGTGTAGATCAAAATTATTCCTTTTAACCTATGTTGGTTAAGTCTAAGTCGTTGGCAAAAATTGTAACCCAGCATGGATTAAAAACAAAATTCCGACAGTAATGATAGCCCCCTTCCGGTTAAAGTTTAATCAATGATGATTAAAGTACTGGTCACGTGACCCAACGGAACGATATCGAAGCGCGTAGCTAGCGATCGATCGACATACAAATAAAGTACATACAAAGTACATGCAGTTTACGCGTGCGACAAAATTAACAATGGAGGTTGTCGCGAGGACCTGACAAATGGGGGTTTGGACGGTCTTATCTCCGTGTTTTCAGGTAAGAAATTATTTTAATATGATCATCATCAATTCTAAGATTGTAAGGAAGAAGTGAAATAAGGTTCTTGCTCAAATCAAAAACGATTTGTGTCCCCTAGGCTGTACGTAGCTCAACCAATAAGTAACATTTTACTTGCACCGTGGACCTTGCTCTCGTAAGCACACACACACACACACACTCATCAGTCTGCAAGAATCTTCAACCGTGAAGGAGGCAGACCCAATTAAAGAAGGAGAAGTGTAGGCTTATTACGGATCACTTGCCCAAATTGCATGCATGAATAATAATCTTATTTTTTTAAATCTAATTGTTTAAAACAATTAAATATAAAATAAGATGTCATCATGAAGTGAAACGTCTTTATGCATGCAATTTGGATAGGTCATCCGTTACACTTACTGGCTGAGCTACAACCTACGGACCGGGACACAAAGCGTTTTTAATTTGAGCAAGAACCTTATTTCACTTCTTCCTTACAATCTTAGCATTGATGATAATCATATTAAACAATTTCTTACCTGCAAACACGAGGATAAGACCTCCAAACCCCCGTAAGTTTAACCAACAGTAGTTATAACTGTAACCAACAACCCACTAAAGTTTAACCAACATCGTGTGAATCAAAAAAGAATTAACCTACAATGGTTACAATGTTAACCAACGGCCCATGTAAGTTTAACCAACATCATGTGAATCAGCCCCGAACAAAGCATAAATAACCAACAAAAGATTAAAGTTTTAATCAACAAATGGTTAAAGTTTAATCAACACCATTTTAACCAACATTGAGCAAATTTTTTAAACCAATAATTGATTAAAATTTTTAATCAACCACAGGTTAAATTTTAATCAACAGGCTGTTGGTTAAAGTTTAACCAACGATTGGGTGATTCACCTGGTAATCCGTGGTTGATTAAAATTTTAACCAACTTGATTAAAAATTGTAATACTTGTTTTAACAGTGTAAGGGTAATTGTATTAATCACGTCTTGTAATTGGTTGGCTTCGTAAGGGGTCCTCCTGGTTGGCTGGTGATATCTAAGCCTCGTCGGGTGCCGCAGTATTTAAATGCCATGTGCGGGGTTTTGTAGTCATATTATTTGAGAGTATATTATTTGATAGTAGATATTATTTGAGAGTTTATTTCATTCCGTTATCATGTTTAGGATGTGCTGCTAGTTTACTGTCAATATGGCTGCCCAGCCTCTGAGAGAAGCAGCTTATTTATAATATTTATATAATAATAATACTCTTCGTTTGCAACGATTGGAGCTTCGGCTGACTTATATAATTAACAAAGTGGGCTTCAACTGTATATCCGAGCTTCTTGTGTTTTCATTTATATTCGAACTTGTCATCTTCAACTCATTAACTGGCCCACCACACTATAATCGGAGGTCAAGTGGAGCCAGACGTAGTCTCAGTGAACAACCGGCGATATAGAGAGACTGAAGCTTTTGGTCTATGCTTGTCAGTGTGATTCATTTTGGGGAACATTGATTGGCATTGCTGATGCCACTTCAATTTCTATTTATTTAGATATCTACCAGTGAAACAAGTCAAGTGATGGACATCATTGCCAGGCTTAGCCTAGAGCCTGGTATTATATCATTATCATGAATTTGTAATAACTAGTGTAGGTCTAGGCCTAGTCTAATTGGCATGTGTCATGGCATTGCTGACAACAAGACAGAATTAAACATGAGAGTCATACTCAGATATAGTCTACTGTAGGCCCGGCTAGGCCCAACTCCAGCCCAGTGTCAGAGGGTGCGAGCTCCGCCGCCGCCTTGGGCGTTTGACTCGAGCTCCGTCAGACTCAGTCCCTTAACTCTGGTATTGAGAGGCCGTCGGATATGAAAACACCGAACATTTCATGGAAAATGGAAAGTTATAAAGCATATCACATAGTGAAATGTCAATAAAGTGAAGAGTATGGATTCGACTACATGTACAGGTTTTATACTTACGATTTTAAGGAAAGGATCGAGAAATTGAGAGATTTCAATTGCACTAAAATCGGGCTGACCAGATACTATCGCAGATTGTTTTGGCGGTGAATTATTTGGATAAAATCAATCGAGCATAAATATCTCCACCCAGTGCTGCATCCTGATTGGTGGATAGCTCTCAAACCAGGTTTGAGAAATAACAAACCTCCTATCTGAGCAGTCTGTAAATTTCGGGTCTGATGACGTACATAAACCTGGTCTGAGGACAAACCTTGCTTTGTGAAATGTAATTTCAGACCAAGGTCTGGGGAGCGTTTCATCAAACATTTAGTCGGTGGTTTTCACCGACAATTTTTTTTCATTTTCACCGACAATTTCATCATCACCGACTAATTTCCATTTCATGAAAATTTGTCCGTGGAAAACACCGACAAATTTCTGTAAGTCACCGACTAATTTTAATACATTTGTTGGTTGCCTTGGACCTCCCGACAAAGTCAATTTACACCGACTAATTAGTCTCAACAACCAAAAAAGGCACCAAAAGGGCAAAATGGCAGCAATCATGAATATCCTAGGGGGTGCTGCCCTCGGTAGAGAGTGTGTTTTCCGGGACCGTGAGTTGATGCAGCTATGTTACAAAAATACAGATTTACTAGGGAAGGAGTGTTAAACATAATAAATGAGTTAAACGACGAGTTAGAGCATGCCACAAAGAGGAGCAAGGATCTATCTGCCCATCTGCAAGTCTATGTGGCTTTGAGAACTTTTTTGCGACAATAGAAGGGTGACGCAAGTCATATGCGGAAAGAAAAACCAAGTTAGTATTGCCTTTTTTTCCTGAAATGAACTGACTTGAGCTTTAAGTCCTATGAAAAGTATACCCAATATCATCGCAATGTACAAAATTGTTCGTTTGATTAAAAAAAAGAATTGGGACCTAAAATTTTATTCCATTCTTTCATTCAGTTTAATTTAGATAACAAAGGTGAATGAATGGGGTCTAACGATAAGACTAAGCGTGTAGATTCAGACTCCACATTCACCCAACTTTATTACATTTTTTTTGTTTTTGGCAGAGACAACAAAATTAAAATAAACACACAACAAACAGCTGAAAGTAATGTTAAAGGGCCTTCTCAATTGAACGGACTTTATTAATAAAATAAAATCAGAATGACATTTGTTGTGTCAATTTTCCATCAATTTTCAAAGAACAGACTACTTAATCTAGATCAATAGATCTATATCTTGAGATCTACTTAAACTACTGAGAGAAAAAAAAAACTCAAAGTTTGAAAAATGCAGTTAAAAATGATGAAGAAAATATACAGTTCATTTTCTAGTATTGATTTCTGGTTCTTGTCATTACTTGCAACTTTTCCTTTAAAACCTCAATTTTTATATTCCATCTCCCCCTCAATCTCCAACAGCTCCAGCTGTCCATCAACTGCATTTTCTTTGTTGTCCTTGTCGATGTTGCTGCTGCCATCTCTGTTGTTGTCCAGGTTGCTGCTGCTGTTGATGTTGTTGTTGCTGCTGCTGTTGCTGCTGTTGCTGCTGTTGTTGCTGCTGTTGTTGCAGCTGCTGCCGCTGTTGTTGGTTGTTGCTGCTGAGTCTCTGGAAAATGTTGGTTCTCTTGATGCTGTTGTGATTTAATCAACTGCAATTTGAATTCATATTTGCAATGACGAACCTTCGTCATTGCCTTGTTTTCGTTCACATTCTTCTTATTAATATTCTTACTTCTTCCTCCTCTTCTTCTTGTCGTCCGGAATCCCATTCGTTTTGCACGTAGTGCTTGTTATTCCTAGTTAGGTGCTTTCCTCATGTCCTTTTCCTTTCAAATTTCATAGGCATAGTCTCTAACATCTCATCAAGGTCACTACATTCTTCGATTCTCGAAATCACTCATGCATAACCGTCCAGGCGCCATTTTGTCCGTTTCTGGTCCATTTTAAGGCCTTTCTTTCTTTCTTCCTGTCTCCACTATCCTTCATCCTACAAACTTCTAACAAATTCCTCTAGATAGTCTGAGAGATGTTCTTTCATCTGCGACACATGACTTGACCTTCAAAATGCCATCTTCATACTCGAAATTCAAATCTAAAACCGACTCCGTCAAAAATCTCTCAAGTTCTTGAAAAATGGACCCCTAAATAATCTAAAACTGCCATAACTTTCTCATATAAATTCCGTTTTGTATTTAAATCTCACAGTATCTTTATCTCATAATTGCACATAGCCATGCTAAATTTCACGCTCCAATGGGCTTGCACAACATAAATAGCGCCCTCTAAAGTTCTGGGAATTGGCTTTCTCTCTGTGGCCGTATCTCCATAATGGCTTAGCAAACCCGTACCCTTTTTTGGATTTAGATACTTGAAGATATGCCCTTTCCAGCCATATACAAAATTATATACCCTATCACTGACCAACTTTGCGAAAATTGCCCTCCAAATTCGCCATTTTCAAGAAAATTCCGAAATAACTTCAACTTGCTCTAAAATGACGATCTTTATACCTACGTCGTTGAAACTTGGCAGACACATGTATCCATATACGTGACAACTGTCTGTCAAGTTTGGTAAATTTTAATAACGTCAGCGCAAAGTTATCGCCAAAAATGATGAATTTGCTATGCATTACGTAATAGCGCCGTTAATGCGTGCAGTACATTGCGTGCAGATGACAATGGTGTCAAACTGACCGCAATGAAGTGCCCTTTCGAATGATACCAAGTATGGTATATGTTTACACAGAAAATTGTGAGTAAATCGCATTTGAACAAGGGTCACTATACGAATTCCGCCCGATTATAACACTTATCGGCGATGACGTCATTTTTTCAGACTACTTTTCGCCCCCTAAACATCCTTTTTTTTCGTTGAAAATTTGCAATGACATTCCGAGATGCAATACGCAGGGCACCTCGTGGCCGGATTTTTGAAAGTAGTCAAGGGGGCCATTTAAGACGCCATTTTGTCCTTTAAATCTATTTTACATCACATGTTTCGATAGGATTATCATAGAAAAAAAGAGAGTAGTTTACAATAACAACCATGAAATTCTCTTTCCAATGATACCATATACGGCCCATAAAGAGACATAAAGAGAGAGAGAAAAAACAATTTAACTCCGGTCATAATACAGATCCTGTACGTTTTCCGCCCATGCATTACACGCATTGTCTATGGGGCAAATCGGGTTCACGCTTTTGACCCCTAGAACGAGCTTGATTGATTTGACGAACATGCAACTAATCCCATTTGTTTTTGCACGCAGTGCTTGCGAGCCCTTTCTAGGTTCTTTCCCCTATCCCAATTTCTTTCAAACATCGTAGGCATAGTCACTACCATCCAATCAAGGTCACTATTGAGGCCTTTCTTTCGCCCTACCTGTCTCCAATATTACAGAAGCTAAAGACTTCGTACAAATTGCTCTGGATAGTCCGAGAGAAGCTCTTTCGTTCGACACGTAGAAACACGGCGTCATTGCACGCACATCGTTGTGACACGATTGCATTTCTAGTTATAATGCTATTATCATCTTATGAAAAACATTAATATATTAAATAATTGTTATTGTTTGTGGTATAAGTACTGCTATTATAACTTCCCCTATCATTGTCATTGTTAATCATTGATTTTATATGGCTTGTCTTTTTCTTGATCTCCTTATATATTCATTAAAAGAATACATTCCAATAAATTTAGACTAAGTGATTGTGTCTTTCTTCAAATCTTCCAGAGTTCCTTACTTGAAAACTGAAATAAAATGAACAAGTCAGGTAACTACATAGTTGAATATATTAACAAAAAAAATACAAAAAAAATGCTTATCCAATATAGGCCCATCTATTATTGCGAACAGTGTAATGCAAACATGATACTTTGACTTATGTGATTATTTCATCATGACTTGAGCAGAGTAGAATGTATTAATGTCAAAGAATCTCATTTGCAGAAAAGCATCAAATTGGTTTAGTAATGAAGTAGAAACATGTCAATGTGGTTCAATTTGAGCAGTATGCATCGTAAATTTCCGACATACCGGTAAGTGATGAAAAAACAAACTTGTTTTAACTTAAATATTTCTTTGATAGATATCTAAGCTGTTAAAAATATTAAAAAGCAGTGAGGAATTACTGAATACTTGGTGTCCAATTTCTATTATAACTATTTTTAGCACTTGACATGTCATTTAACCCTACTGCTTTACTTTGCATGATCATCAAGTGATATATACATCTATTCATAAAATTTGCATAAATTATCATATTTAATGATAAAAAAGACATTAAATGATTAAACAAATAGCAATAATGGATTTAGGTTCTTAACACACTTATCAATGTCTGTGTGGCGTTTGGTCAAGTCACGCAACTGATGGGGGGGGGGGGCAGTGCAGGAAAGGTTAATGAAAACATGAATGCAGTTGGAAAGCCTGGAAATTTATAATAAAGAATGTTCAACTCACCAAAGACATTACATTTCCGGCTTCAGCTTCACTACCATAGAAGCCCTGGATTGTTTGTGCTGGCAGTGCCTCCAGCACCATCTAGTGATGGTCATGACATTTTGGCCGGGGTCCACCACTTCATAAAATGAATAATATTGAGATTGCTTTCATTAATATTTCACACTTACCATTTTTTACTTACCATTTCTCAAATAGGTATATTCACAGAAAAGGCAACATTTTACCTCCAGTGGTTCATTTTTTTTGGAGGGGGTCTGAATTTGATGGTATAGTGATCCAATATATAATAAAATATATATTTATAATCTATATATTTATCTCTAATTGTGTGTTTTTAATGTGGACCCATCACAGAACTTTCAAATTTATATATATATATGCTTTATTTACGTCATAGCAAGGTTGTTGTGTTGGCTGTCCAAAGGAGACAACTGAATGACGCATTCTTGAACAATAACAATATCAATCGTTTCACGTCAATAAATAAATGTATCTGTTTCTTTCCCCGTTTATTAAAAACATTGTAATATTCACTATGAATTACCAGTCGATTGTGCTTTGCTCCTATATTGTTGGGCACAAGAGGCCACCGCTATGAGGTAAGGGGCAGAACATCAAGACTGGAACCTCAAGGCACCCCATCTCTCCACAGGAAACCCTCCTTCTCAATCCCTGGAACAGAATTATAAACATTTCAATAAATATTAACCAAATATGAAAGAAAATACAAATAAAATAGCATTGTCTAAGAGTTTAGTTGTCTTCAATATTTACTTTTCAGCAAAATTTGAAAGTCAATTATTTTTTCTTTTTGCTCGCCATTCCGTTTCATGTACTGGACTTCTACAAAATCTTCAAATGTTAATTCTAAAAAGAGATATATTGGAGGTATAACCCTATCTAGCCTAGGCTATTTAGAAACTGCATAGCATAGCCCGGGGGGGGGGGGGGGGGACTTTGAAGGTCCCCTCCCCCTATGATCTCGGCCGTTGAACGGCCAATCGCTGCCAAAATTTGCATGCATGTCAAGTGAAGTGTAGACTATGGTAATTTAAACTTTGGAGCCAGGTTATTCCTTATCCCTTATCTATTCTATTAATTTGATAATTTCTTATGTACAGTGTATTTCTTTGTTTTTTTAATTTATGTATTTTATTGTTTTATTTCAATTCTAACTATAATTCAAATATTTTGAACCCCCTCCCCCCCCCCTAAAAAAAAAATAAACACCTTAACTATAAACAAGACCAAATAAACAATGTTTTATCTCTTTTTCTGGAAAATGAGATTTCCATGTTTTGTACATAAATCATGAAAATGAGTGATTTTCGGGCTGATATGCAAAGACAAAAGGTCACGTGACTTTGTAACGTAAGGTCCAGTTTTTCAAAAAAATTATTTTAAAAGATGCGCAAGGCTTGAAAAAAAAAGTCACAAAATATCAGCTAAGAGTCTTTGGCGTTAACAAATTATCGCAAAAAATGTAAAGGGGGGGGGGGGGCTAGATAGGGTTAAAATTACACTTTAAATAAACACTACAGCAACTTATAAGTAGAGATGTTGATACACACATAGCCACTCCCTTTAAAGGATACTTCTCAAACCAGCCCTTTGCATCGCCCTCCAACTTGACCTCACTCATTTCAAAATTTCTTTTTACTTGAGAAAACTAAACAGATCCAAGTTATAAGATCCAAGGTAAATATGTTTACCTTCTCTTGTGGTGGTCTGTTCTTTCCAGGACATTTTGTTTCAAGCACATACTCAAAGAAGGCAAGCAGCTGCGACAAGTCGCTCTGTAAATTTTCCTGTAAACAAGAGAGGGGGAATTTGATTTAGAATTTTTTTTAATGACCATTATGAATATTGATGAGCATTTGCAGAATTAACTGTGCTATTGACTTGTAATTTGGATTTTCTCTTTACCAAAAAAAAGCCCCTTTCATTATCTACCATTGAAATTTACTGTATGTTACATTTCTTGATCTCAGATAGATCCTAGATCATATCTGATATGATCTAGATCGATGTCTCGTAGATCTGTTTATTCTATCAAATTGAGAAAATGCAAAATAAACATGGATCTAGCTATGACTGACAGAGTCAGAAAACTTAATCATGTTCTCAACAAAAAATAATTTCAGAGATAGACTTTCTAGAGCCTTTGGCTTTAGAGGCAAAACCAACAAAGAGATTAGAAAAAAGGTACCACATCCACTACAGTACGGCTCTCGTTGAGAATCAGACACCCCCCCCCTACTGCCCTAGATCTAGTAAGGCTAAGCCTAAGTAAGGCAAGGCTAAGTGAATTTAGAGTCTATACCCTATATGCATTCACACAGGCGCGTACGCAGGATTTTTTCAAGTGGGGGGGGGGGGGGTTAACATTTTTAAATCGGGCCGAAAAGTTCGCATCGACTCAGTCAGCCGCTGAATAAGCCGGGGGGGGGGGGGGGGGGGGGGGGGGGTAAGAGGACACTTTTTTTCTGGTCTCGAAATTTGAAAATTTGACATTTTGCTCCGTTGGGGGGCTGGGGGTAAGGTTACCTTTTTTAGGTCAACCATGGGAATATTTTTTTAATTTAATTTTTTTATTAAAAAAAAAAAAAAAAAAAAAAAAAAAACCAAAGGGGGGGGGGGGGGGGGGTGTTTGGGTTTTTTAGGGGGTTTTATACACATAAAAATACCAAGGGGGGGGGGGGTAACCCCCCAAACACCCCCCTGCGTACGCGTCTGCATTCACACTCGCAATCAATGCCATAAATAGGGTTGAATAACGGGCAGGTTGAATGAATAATCATGGAAAAATTGTAACAACGGCGGTGAAAAAAAGAAGGGAGAAAGCATAAGCGCGTTGTAGTACAGACACAGAAACGCATATGTGGGACAATACTAGAATTATTTTAGGTTGCGTTTGGGGCCCGTTTGGGGCCGCTGCCGGGTTTTAATTCTGTCTCTAGCTCTAAAGACTCTAGATCTATACAAAGAATTTCTACTTTTTTATGAACAGTATTCAACATATATACTTTGAAAAGCTATACTTACAGACACCTCCATTTCGGTCATTTTGCCGATGTTGATGTTGATGATGATGATGATGATGACTAGATTGGTACGAGCTCAAGTTTGATCATCGCGATCGTTTATGTGCGATAAAGAATTTTTTGTTTATTTTTCTGGCGCCTAATTCATGGCTTAATTAGTCAGAAGGCTCGTCCCACTCGATTGAAGATTAAAAGTCCGCTGACAATTTGTCAGAGCTTGTTATAGAGCTTCGTGAAACGGTTTTTAAGGCCCTTTTACACTTTCACGGATCGCATCACGGATCATCCCGGATCGTCGCATCATCCGTGTTATCTCCGGCATTACCGTGTGTATACACCGGGGAGGCATCCGGCGTGATCCTTGGCGTACCGGCATATCCGGGGAAAAAATTAAGCTTGCTTAATTTTTCATCCCGGAGTTCACGGATGAAACAATCCGTCCTCTTCCCTGTAGCCGGCGAATACATCCGGGACAGTCCGTGTAGACACCGGGAGGTCCGTATTAACACCGGTTTCATCCGGGTTTGAAATTCCGTATATCAAATGAGCGCCTACAAGCTCAAGTCACCCGTCAACATTCCGGAGATATCCCAATAGACAACGTACACCTCCGTGTAAGGACCGTAAAAGTACCCAGTAGCCTCCGTGCTCTTCCTTGAAATCCGTGTTAGCTCCGTATGCGTTTCCGGCGTGGTCCGCGTTTATTTATTTTACCTGAAAGAGTGCTGATAACATTATATAATAGTATTGTTGTTCCTTATTTGACATATTGTAATGTTGCTTGGGGAAACACTTTTAAGTCATATCTTGATAAGTTGAGAGTATGGCAGAAGAAAGCAATACGGCTTATTACTAATTCTTATTATAGACATCCAAGTTCTCCATTGTTCCTTCGACTAAGAACGTTACCACTAAGTGGACTTGTGTCGTTCAATTGCATATTGTTTATGTTTAATCTTATCTTAAGTCTGTGCCTCATGAATGTACGTTAAAAGATTTATTCCGTCAGAACTCGCAAATTCATAATTATAATACACGTCAAAGGTGTCTTATTCGACAGCCTTTTGCAAGAACAAATGTCACTCTGACCTCTTTCCATATCTCTTGCATTAAAGAATGGAACAGTCTGCCTGATGATATAAAAAATAGTACAACTCTTTCTAGGTTTAGAAGTTTATCGAAAACGTACCTGCTTGAAAGACTGACATAGTTTTTATTCGCATCTTAGTAATTTCTTATTCTGAAATGCTTTTTGACCACTAAGGACCTACTCGTCAGTGTGTTTGCTGTGTATGTGCGTGTGCGTGTGTGTGTGTGAGAGTATTTGTATGTTCTATATTCTGTAGCTTAGTATTTTCATCCATTGTATAATCATACGTAACATTCTTTTTACTGTAAATGTATGTATTTTGTTATAGGGCCCCGCTCACAAGCTTAGCTTCTAAAGGGGTCCTAAAACCGTTCAGTTTATGATGTAATCAAGTTAGAATATGTTGATTGATGTACTATTACCAGTCTCTTTTTTATGTAACAGATTATATCATGCTTTGTATGGTTTTGAATAAAATGAACTGAACTGAACTGAACTACCTTGTCTGTCCGTGGAGACACCGTACTTGCCCGTGTATACACCCAGTTCGGAACGTATCCAAACCTGCATCGAGAAGAAATCGTGGTGTCGCACGCCGGAACACCCCGGATTAAGATCCGGGATGATCCGTGATGCGATCCGTGAAAGTGTAAAAGGGCCTTTAGTCAGCGCTGACAGTTTTCCGCCGACTAATGTTGATGAAACACCCCCTGAACTCAAACCTGAAACGCGTCACATGACGTACGAAAACCTTGGTCTGAGGACAAACCTGCTTTGTGAAATGCATTTCAGACCAAGGTCCGAACTCAAACCTGAAACGCGTCATAATGACGTACGAAAACCTTGGTCTGATCTCAAACCTTGCTTTGTGAATTCGGGCCTATGTTTATTGTCATGATTTTATTCTTTACTTATTTCTAATTTGTATTTAACTTTATTTAAAAATTTTCATTCTTATGTTTTCTCTTTTCTCTCGATAATATCTCGGCAACGAATTGAGAGTTTGGGTGGACATCTTCGATGTAGTAAAGCAATAGGAAATTAGGTAGCTCATTTAAAGGGGGAGGAGGCAGTCTTCTAGATAT